GGTGCTTATTGCCCGTGCTTCCCCGCCACGGTCAAACGCACGCGGCGCCCCGTTCTACTGAGGGCAGTGAGCAGGAGGCGACAGTGTATGCATTTTGTATTAGTCCTCCGGCGCGTTTCGCAGCAGTGGCTTATTACCTTCGGTGGTTCGCTTAGCAGGTGCGTGTGCGTGAATGTGAGAATGTGCGTGTGTTTGAGGGAGTGTGTGAATGGGCGGGTACATGTTTGCCCTCCTCTCCGTTTGCCATCGATTTCACCTTGCGTCGGACATTCAGTGAAGGGAGGTTCATGTGTGAACCTTACATTTGCCGAAGGAGAAACGTTTCGTTAATGCAAGGACAAATGTTCGTGTTCCTATTTTTAATGTGTCATTATATATTTTCTAATATACACTAGTCGCTTTGTGTCTGTTTGGTAAAACAAATGTTGCTGACAATCTGCCGTGAAACGTTTTCCCTTTGAGTAAAATTATATTCTATAGTAAACCCCAATAAATTTTTCTTACTCACCGTATATTTAACATATGTAAAGTCATTAAACCCGAACATTTAAGAATAATATCAATAAATATCGTTGTGTATTTAATTGCACATTATTTATTTAATTTTCTGAATAATGAATGTAAAAATCTACCGTCATATTGTATTAGAGACAAATATCGCTTTTTTCCAAAAGAAAAATATGGTTTAATACAATTTCAGTCAGAAAGAGATACTCAATGTAATTGATCTTTCTGATCCGAGTTAAACTTCAAAACAAAAGTAATCTTCATATAATCATTTATGTTTTACAGGTTTGCTAAAATAAATAGAGAATATAGACATGAAAATCGAACAAAAATTATTATTTCAAGAACCTCAACTTTTGCCTTTCTTTCATGTTTTAAACGATTGGATATTAAAATACTGTTAAGATTTGAAATGGTCTCTCTTTTTTTTTGTTATTATTTTTTTAATAACTTGCTAACTCATATGTTCGTAAACTAATTGTATGCATATTTATTCCTAGACTATTCTTGTAGAATTCATAACAGACCAGTTATTAATCTTTTACATTTTAAACGAATTGTGTTGAAATATAATATTTTAAGGCCAAACGCTTTTTTATGGTGATCACAATAAATGCCAAGGTAGGACACGGGAAAAAATATCGTACGTTTGGCCGATGTAGCAGGGAAGACGTGCGATGTGAGTAGCCGGTTCCACACGCGATCTGTCGCGTGCACGCGCGTTGAGCAACGAACAAACACCGCCGCTACACGCAGTGCATGCCGTTAACGAGTGGGCGCGGTAGTGCGACCACCCGGCAGATGCGGGGTCAGTAATTGCTACCGATGGTACGGCGGCAAGCGGGCAGGCCAAGAGTCGGCGCCTATGTGTGGGGGTCGAATGGGTCGGTGACCAGATCGATGGGAAAGACGGAGGGGAAGTGAAGGAGGTATTTAGGTGTATGGTGTGCAAGTAAATGCGGATGACGGAATAAAAGAGTGCATGAGGGCGGATTCGCTTAGTAGTAGATCAGAACGGTCGAGATGCATGAGTGAAAGAGCACTTCAAGTGTTTTTGGGAAGTGCAAAACGCCTGCATTAGCGACATAAAGCAGAAAACGTGTCTCCGCCGTACGGAAATATGACAATAAGACATGGAGTAGCTAGCAGTCATGGTGTAACGTATTTCCTTCTGCACACAATTCGGGGTGCAGAATGTAGATTCGAGCAAGATGCCTCAGATGTGATTAGATACTGGAAAGTGATGAAATGAGCAAAGTTTGAGAATGGGAGGGGAGGCGACAAGCAATGTCTTTTCGTTGAAATCGCCGTCATTTATTTTTTGGATGCAGCTCTGCTAAGAACTAATCAGCTGAGTGAAGTAAAATTCAAGGTTATATTTTTCTTACTTTTTTTTAGGGAGAATTGTTGTTGAAGTAGGTGGTTTGTGACAGACTAGATATCTTACTCTCTTGGCAGTTCTTCCAATTTTAAATTAAGTCGAAATGCTCATTACATTAATTAAACACAGAGTATTTTTTACTGGTAAAAAATTGACAACACTGGCCCACCAATTTCGATTGCACTTCAAAGAAAACTGTAGATAGTACCTTCCTATGTCGAAAACGGGCTACCTCTCAGGGATCATACAAAGAGATATTTCAAAAATCGATATCAGACGATGAAATTGAGCTTACTAATATTGAAAATACAACAATGAAACCTTCCCTTATAAATGTAAATCTTCAGAATGATTCTTTTACTAAAACCTCTGACGTGAAGGCAAATCCCGAATATTATTATTTTACTGGTCTTCGAATTTAAAACATTTTAAGTAAAAAATCCTAATACTGTGAACTCTTTAATCCTAACTCCAAGGAATACTAGAAAAGCATAAATTCTGCAAAACCTGAAGTCCAACAATATTAAAAAGTGGAACTTACGTTCCTTTAAATAATTGCCTGGAGTATTTCAACGTCTTCCACTCGAATTTTACTAAGATTTATACCACATTTCAACAAAGTGAGTCACTTAATAAATAACTCGTCTCTTGTATTACAAGTTACATTCTTAAAATGTTCACATAGTGCCAATACAAGTGTTTACTAGGGAAACAGTTTCTGAGTTTTCCTTTGAACCTAAAAGTTATTTGTTTCAAATTATTTCCATCCAACTTCCAAAAATTCAAGTTAACATTCATTTTTAACATATATTTAAAGAAGAATGTTAAGATTTCATCAAATTATTCGGTATTAAGTTAAATAGATCCCACTGTATTTTGATTAAAAGTTTCCAAGTAAACATGAGTACATTTCGCCCTTTCGTTTTGTTGATGGTAGTGGGCATCGTGGAATCGACTTACTACTTGCAATTTTAATTACGTTTTTTATGGAAACAAGAAAAATATTATCTTGCAATGCGCTCATTTTTATGACGAATTATTCTTCAATTAAAGTATCTTAATTGACAGTGAAACTAGAGTAGATTTGTAGGCCGAAAAATGACATGTCTTCTTGAGAAATGTAGGAAACGTAATCTTTAGGTAGATGCTTCTATAAAAATAGTGTCCAAATACCTTTTCATGATGCCTAATATTGAAAAAATGGATTACTCTTTGTTATCAGTATTATAAAATATGATTTAACGGATTGTATATAAGTCTTGTAAAATATTTATAAGCGAATCAGATCGGTCCAAGACACTGATTCTCTACTTTCCTTTTATGTACTTTTTAAAGATTGATCTGAATAGTTGCCTTCATGTTTACGAATGTTGATTTCAATCGCTCATCACGATTTACCTGCGCTGGAAAATAAATAAGTACGAAAATACATGACACATCAATTATAGATTCATACGAATTCTTATGTCCAGCAACAAACTTAAAGTGTCGGTCTTCCGGACGCGTCGCGAGGAAGTTCTGCGTTTGTAAAACGCGGCCGGCGGAAGCGGGAACGGGAGCGGGGAGGAAGCGCGGGCCTGTAGAGTGCGGCGACGGAGCGGCGGAGAGGCGGGGAGGGAAGCGAGGGGGCGTCTTATTACTGTAAAAGGGCGCGGCGCGATAAGGAAAGCAATATCCAGAGCGGACAATAAGTAATTGCGGCGGCCGCCTGCTATCGCCGCCGCCATCGGGGGCGACACATCGAGCTCATTACGCAGCGGCCGCGCCGACGAAGATTAATTCGCGCGGGGGCGGCGTGGGCGGGAGAGCGGGAGGGGGTGGGCCGGGGCGCTGGAGGGAAAACGCAGGGCGGCGCAGGGGCGCGCAGGCACCCGTGCAGGCGGCAACAGGGGTGGACGGGGAGGCGAGGAGAAGGCGGTAAACGATAGTCGTGGGCGGATGTGGGGGTGGAATGGGAATGGGAATGGCAGCGAGGGGACGATGAAGGAGCGAGAGTGGAAGGTCGGAGATGGATTCGGAACGGGGTTGGGATGTGGGAGGAAGGGCGTAATACAACAGTATGGGACCGGTGGGATGCGAGTAATGGCGGGAATTGAGCTGGCAGCTTCGCGGATTTTCGACAGTTTCAAGGGTGATTGAGAAGTAGCGCGAATTTCGGAAGACGGAGCGAGGCGGCGTGGGCGGGAGGCGTTTGCGTAGTGTCTTCACGTCCCGTGAGGAATGAGGCGTGGAGACAGCACCGGCATGAGAGTAATGCAACTTGGGTAAGATGATCTATGCAATCAAAACATGGAGGTTGGCGCGATGACAGCGCATGATTTGCAGTGTGGTGCGATGCTTGATTAAATTAAGGGTAAAGGGTGAGATGCTGCGTAATTGGGAAATAAAGGTAGAATTTAAAGTGAAAGAGCACTTTATATGGCTTGCTCAGTCGTCTCAGGGGATCAAATCAGTTCACAGACAGCAGACAAATATGAACGGAAAACGGACGTAATAATTCACAGATTTGTGGATATAGGTTGAAAAATGAAGCAACATTACATATTGTCAAAAAAAACTATTCTAATAATTGATAAAAATATCCTTTCTTTCACCGTTTGATTTCTTTCTTCGAAAATAATTTATTTGAGCCTCGTATTTTGTGTTGTTAAGATGCAGATATGGCTAAGAGGAGGCCGATTTTCTTACGAATACATTATTTGAAGGTGTAGTCCAAAATTTGTTCCCCAAACAATTTGAGATTGAAAATACCTTTAATATCGCAGGCTGTGATGGCACAGTCTTCACACGGGATCACAACTTTCGACACGGCGTCACCCGGACAGCCAGAGCACTCCCAAGACTCAGACCTCAGAAGCCTACGACTTTATTTAAATGTATTCGTACTTAATATCTCTTCAGTACTATCAATTGTGAAACCTGCAGGAGACAAGTAATCCTCGCAAGTGGCGGACGCTTGAACTCACCTTAGGCAGCTTCTCCGGGTCTCCCGGGTGGCGAGGGATGAGCTTCTGTAGGCGCTGAAAGCCGTAGTCTATCGTGGGCTCGTTCAACGCTAAAACAGAAGTAAAAAGAAAAATAAGATCTTTTCATTAAACATACGGTTCATCATCTCTTTCTTCACATAAATTATATTTTTACTCATTATACTGTAATACTAGATGTTTTTGAGCTTCAAACCACACTCATATTTCATTTCAAATTTATTTTAATATAACTATAATCCTAATATTATTTAATATTTAGATTGAAGAGTTTATAGCTGAAGATTCCATGTTAAGTAATCACTTTATGATACCAGTGATGAGTCAATAAAACGGTAAAAATCATTGGAGTAAGTAATTCCCCAGGGTTCAGACGCAAATGCCACAATCTCCAACCACATCATTCCGAATGTTTGGGAAACAAAAGTTGTATTCAGATACGTACAAGTACCATTCCTCTAAATAATTCAAAAACTTATTTCATCATCCAACGACTTCATATCTCTTTTTTCCCCTCCAGTGCAACACTTCAACTTCGCAGACCTCTTTCCTAAATTACACTCGCGCATCGAACGGTAACGAACTCGCTCATTAGGGTCCGTTCGAAGATCGCTATCGCGCCCTTGAGCGCCGGGCCAGAGGTCATCGTGGCGGCGGCGGGGCCGGCGATGGCTTCGCCAGGCCACCCACTCGTTATGCAACGCGCGTTATGGGAGCGCTGGACGCCCGCGCTGCGGCCGATCGGCCCCCGGGGGTGCCTGCCCGGCGTTAGGTAACCCCGCGGCCACGTTGTTTTCTCTTAGATAAACGCGTTTTTACGTGCGCTTCGCGAGCTCTCGAAGGGCGGATCGGCATGGAAGTGACGGCGTTCGGCCAGCGATGTGTTGGGGCTTCGGTGCAGCAGAAGGTTGCCGTTGCTGACGAAATATCGTTTCTCTTAGCTGTCCGGCACTTATGATTTTGCTTCGGTTTGTTTGTTTATAATAGTCCAATTTCTTCTATCTTCTGCTTTTTTCGCCATCTTTTATATTTTATGCAAAGCGGGAAAATAGATTCATCTGTTATGAAAATGATTGACAGGATTTTTTTCATTTAGTTTTACATTTATTACTGCTTAGGTACGATTGTCCCATACGTAAATGACTAAGATAGAAGAACATGAAACTAAGCAAGCGAACTTAGAGGAAAACAAAATGAAAGTTTAAAAGTTTTACATAAACCAAGATCTCTTATTTTGCCCTTTTAAAAATTTCATCTATTTTTAAATAACACATAATATTACTTTACAATACAATATAGATATAGGAATTGACTAAAAAGCATTATGAATATTGCATTTGGAAAGCTTAGATGTGTCATTCTCAACGTTTCTTTGCTCGTACAATTTTCTGTATTTTTATGCTATCTGCCGCACATCGATGAAAACAAATCTATTAAGTTTTATATAACAATGTTCTGGGCGTGATGTATTTAAAATTATGCAGATAAAATTTGTAAAGTGAATTTGTTATTACACATATACTTCTTATAACACATGACAACATTAGATTATTTTTTCATATATAAATTCCATTGTCATTCTTTGTTCACCATGACAACTAATGTGAACAATACTTGCGATATTGCTGATTGTTCACTTGGGTTATTCCACATTTACTTCCACAGTCAATCCCCCCTCATCCCGAGTTCTTCAGCCAGCCTTCTGCTTTTGGAACATCGCAGTGGTCGCTGCTGACTGCTTCCAGCTCAGTCACCGCGCACCGCCCATCTGCGCCTCCGCCCCAGCTGTATCCACCCCCGCGCATCGCCTGAACCCTCCCTCCTCCCCTCCCCTGGCGACCGGAGTCCGCGACGGACGCATCGCTGCGTGTGCTGCATAATGCCACGAGGGCGCTTCTTTGTTTCCCCTGACACGTCAGTCCATAACGCGAATCACGATTCCCCGTCTTAACGACGGTACGCGCTCTCCTCCCACACGCCGTTGCCGCTTCCGCAGCCCGCCCGGGCCCTCCCACCCTCGCACCCACAAATTTGACACCAGGCCACTCCGCTACCCGTCCCTCATCTATTCAGTTCCTCGCCATTCGTCTGTGTGACTCCTTTCACCGTTACGTTTATCCGTCTGTTCGTCCACCAACACGCGCTTCGTTTTTGTTCTACCAGGCATCCTACCCTGTAATTTGATAATTATCTGAACGGTAGCCCATCTCTTCTCATCTTCCTTCCAACTGGTATGCTTCCGCCTCCATCACCATCCAACGGTACTTTTTATAACTCACCTTTATTCCCTCTTTCTCACATTTTCTATCTTTTTTACTCATCTTTAAATGCACATTTTCACCGCTTAGCCATTACACATCTTCCTGAAACAATACTTGTTTACAGGCTCATATTTGCACGGCTCTAGCAATCTTCGTTTCTCTCCTCACTCTGTTGCCCGTCCTGCTAGCCTCTCAATGCGGTTCGCCAGCCAGCACGTCCCAGCCGCTCACGATATCTCCGCCTGCCTTCCTTGCCCTGCCTCCTCGCTCTCATCGCGGCCGGGCGCACACCGGTTCTCTGCGCGTGCTGCCCGGGTTGCGTTACTCGGCGGCGGCAGCGACCCTCCGTCCCCTGTTCGTGAAGCGCCCCCTTTCTTCTGCCCAGGCAGCCAGCGTCGCTTCCTGACCACGGGAAGCTGGGGAGAGAGCTAGTTTTTTTCGACTGTGTGGGTACTGTGACTGTTTCATGGTGCTGAGGGGAGCCCTCGTGACGTGGATTCTAGTCTGTGTCGCGTGTTTGTGTGGCAGGTGAACAGTGGAACGTTTGGACCGCAAAGTGGGCTGTCTACTCGCATATATTTATGATTGCACAGCGCGGGTTTGGCAAATATATAATCTAATATGCAATATATATTTTTTATATTGTTATATAATTATAATAAATGTAACATTTTTGAGAATGATAGATTATTTGAAAGACATGCCCAAAATATATTTAAAGATAATTAAATTTTATGGTTTGAATGTCTAATTATTTTTTCGTTGTTTTCTGTTCAAGCTTCGCATTTCTCCCTATTTGCCAAATACTCGCTTCTAATTAACGAATGCTTACTAAAAAATTTTATCCTTTTTTTTTTGTCAACATCTTTGTCTTTAAATATTTTTTTATGTGAGTCTAAAATTAATGTGCATAAGCTGGCAGCTACAGTATAATATAAAATGAAACAAAAGCTAATATTTTACGAATAATACATCAACATTTGATTTTTTCTGATTGTAATTTGTGTGCAATGGAAAAGTTAATTTATCTATTTCCCTTTTATTGTCATTCATTGATACTAAAACATAAAATTGGATAGTTAATTAAATTTACTTTTTTGTGCTCGTGCTGCAGAGTACTGAACCTCAACAAATCTTTTACGTCTAATGGAATGCGTGTAGGAATGCTACCATAGGAAACGTTGCGAACGCGCGTAATCGAATCTTTAGCAACGGTCATGACGTGCGGAGCTCGCTCATTGGCAGATGCCATGGGCTTTAACAGCGAGTTCTCGTCCAGAGTAGGGCTTCCGTGTCCAACTGCCAACTCCCAGCGTTACAGGGCTAAACAGCTACAATGACACCGTAAAAGTCACAGTGCCTCAAACCTCTTTAACCTACAATCTCCGCAGGCGAGCGGCCTGGTTGAATCTCGGCCATTGGGCGCTGCAGGCGCCGGGACGGCGCGCGCCGCTGCAGGCGCGCGTAAACGGGCCGCTGTGCGGGGCGGCGGGCGAGGTGTCAGGCGGCCATTATCACACCACACGGCAGCAAAGTCAAATTACCGCGTCAGCCGGACCGCGTGCCCCGCCGATGCCTCCCGCCTGGCCTTCCGCGCCTAAACCGGCCCCCCCCCCACTGCGCACGATGAAGCCGTCATTCCGCTTGCATCCGCGCGTCACGCTCAGCGTCGGCCCGTCTTTATCCTCCCCGCCCCTCCCGCCCTCCGCCGCCACCCCCGCTGCGCGTGAGGACGTTACGTTTTGCACACGCACGCCCGCACGCACGCACCGCCGCGCCCCTGACGGGCCCCCTTCGCCGTCGCGCGCCAAACGAGGACGCCAGCCACTCGCAACGACCAGCTGGATGGGCGCTGGACTGGCCGCCCCTCCGCGGCCGCCGGGTTGCAGCGGAGAATTATTTTATATTTAGCGCTGGAGTGAAATTACATACAAGTTCGGCTCAATTTCTAACAGTAGAGTGAATACTTATTCGGTTACAACTAAGGCTCATAATTGAATACATTTTAACCGTTATTATAAATCACTCTAATTAAGGAGTTTAGTTTTAAAGTAAAAACCATTAAAGTAATTTGTTAAAATCGAATTGATGCGAAAGAAAGTAAGAAATACAAATAAATTTGGAAATAGACCGTTTTTCTTCGGAAAACGCGAAATTTGTCTTTATTCCAAATTATCTGCTGTGAGATAATACTGTGTTCGGAAAAATTAATTAGAGTACTGTTACACTAATTTTGTCATTCACAAAATGTGTCGATGTTTTGTATTACTACTTAAGATCATTCATAGTAATATATCGTATGTGTAAACATAAAAATATACTCAAAGTCAAGGAAAGTTTACATTTTAATTACTTCTGAACCGATTACTTTTAGTTTCACAAAATATGCGTTCGGAAAAAGTTACAATAATAATATAATAATAATATAATAATAATAATATAATAATAATAATAATAATTATATAATAATATAATATAATAATAATAATAATATAATATAGTGTTTCTGACGATGTAAATGGTCAACATGATTTTGCAAATACCATACATACATTTCTACTTTCACTTCCGATAAAACTACTTAATTTGTTTTTCAGGAATAATCCCTTTTAAAATTTCAAAAAACTGACATGCAAAAGGACAAATGCGAGTACAATTTTTGTTGCATGAGAAAAATAGTAGATTCAAACATCGCTGGAAAAATGGATGGCTAAATGTTATTCAACATTTTCAGTCTAACAAATGCAATTTGAAGTTTTGGCGAGTGGCAGCACTGAAACAGAACGCTCCCGCAAAGCCACTACGCGAGC